GAGCACCGGTCAAGACTGACTCCGCTGAGCGTGGTAGAGGACTCCTGTTATAGTATAAATTTAATGATAATCGGTAATATGCAATAGATAGTGGTGGCAGGATTTTCATCTTGTGCCCCCTACGGGACAATTTTTTCCTCTATACAAACACCAACCTCTAGATAATCTAGGACTGTACGATGTCACTTTTCACTCCTACACAGGCTAAGAAGCATAAAAGTTGGGGGGATGTAGCATTCAGGACCCAGAATATCAAAAAGCCAATCCAAATCCCAAAACCCAGAATAATTAAATACTGAGTTTTGGAATTAAAATTGGAATATTTCTGATATTAGAGTCATCAAATATATTAGCGGTAGAACCGGTAAGCTATACCGGGACTCCCGCGTGTGAGAGAAACACTCAAGTAAATCCTGAGTCTAGTGAAACACAAATAACGACTCAGTTTGGTTCTCTCAGACTAGGGACTTTTCTTAGCTGAGATAACCGTACTTGAGAAGAGGTCTATTGTATCCTATTGTCTCGTACCTTTCAGATACTCTCTATACTCTACATTTGCACTTTTGGCCGTTGTCCAGTTCAATTCTGATAGGACCTTGAAGAAGGTACGAATTTGTTTAGATACGAGCCCAATTAGCGCGCTTATATCATCACACAATATTAACTTACCACGGATCAACAAATTACTGAAACGAATGAAAAGAGCTATGAATTTCTTCACTATTGATCTAAACAAGGCTATCACCAATCTGTAAAACCGCTGTATATCTACCTATTTGCAGATTTCGTACAAAGTCTACTTGTCGTTCAAAACTTTGAAATACAAGCATTGCCGCTAGAATCTGGTCCGAAAAAGGCTGCATAGTACAGAATAATACTTGTCAAAAGGTCATATTAATCCTGATTGTCTGGTAGGTGCAATCGCCTTAAGATAGGATACGAATTTTTTCTTCAACCCCGATTTTGAAGGTGAAAAAAAAAAATCAATTTGGTAACGGGTTTCGTGGTGGTGATCGACTTGATGTAAGGAAGCCAAAACTGCAATAAAAAATTTCGGCCAAAGTCAATGTTGTCAATATGGTGACCTGGACCAGCCATTATGGGCTGCTGGGGACGGCCAATATTCTTACAGACCATGTCCACAAGTTTATATGAATATTCATAGCGTCCTGTTCAATTTGAAGGCTATGGAATTTTTCAAAATGATGTTTTAGATGAATAAAGATAGTAGGGGTGCGTATGTATATCATCTTTATTTATTTCATACTAGCTTTCTCGGCTGAAACAACTTCATACACATTCTCAGTAACACGACGGTGCGAAGTATACTCTGCTAATTGTAGATTCAAGCCTTTGTCATAGCAATCCGAATACTTGTAAGACCCTCGTACAAAGCGTCTTATAGTGTCTAACTTAACACTTATCACCTTGCCCTTTGGCAAATTCGGTATTACAATCTGTCCGGGTGATTTTTCTTTCCTAATTGTTCTAAGCAATTTCCGCTATTAAAATCAGGATTTGGTCAAGTATTGCGTGTTCCACACATTGGCAAAGTAGGGGTGGTTTCCGACCCTATTTTAAGGCGATTGCACCGTTCTGGTTTCTCTGCTACAACTGTCTTTAAGCTTGAGTATGTCTATTGAGTTCAATCATGTGATATAGAAATAACTGTGTTGTTGCCAGCGGACATTATTTGACTAGCGACGATATCTTTAATCGCTTCTCTCAGACTAAGAACTTTTCCTAGCTGAGATAAACGTACTCGAGAGAGGTCTATTGTTGCCTTTGGTCGCACTTTCTAGCCACTCTACACTCAACATCTTAACAATGTCCTTACTTAGATGTCAATAAGAACGAACCCACACTCAAGATATCACAATAGTGGGTGAAATAATGATCATGTAGTCGAAAACCCTCAAGAGGCAATATTGTATTGTAAAGAGAATAAAAAGAAGCCGGAACGGAAAGCTGTGACGAGGTCCAAACAACTAGGTTAGCAGTCGACAGAGAGCAATTTCTGGGCTAACGGAAGACAGAGAGGAGCAACGGGGAAGTAAAGAAGAAGCTACACCTCGTTCAACACTACCTCGGGAAAACAACAAAGGTAAGTATATCGTATTCTCAGAACCGCATAGCTTCTAGGGTTCTAGGGGCTAGATTATCAAAGAGCCAATACAAAATCCAAAACCACAGAATCATCAAATACTGAGTTTTGGGTCCGGATACAATTATCTTGATAGTAGAGCCATCAGAATTATTAGCGGCAGAAACGGTAAGTTAGAACGGACGCCGCGTGTGATAGAAACTTTCAAGTAAAACACGAGTCTAATGAAATAGAAGACACAAATAAAGACTCAGTTCGGTTCCCTTAGACTAGGACTCTTCCGAGCTGAGATAATCGTACTTGAGAAGAGGTCTATTGTTTCCTTTGGTCGTACCTGTCCAGCTACTTTCTATACTCTAAAATAGAGAAGTAACCTGGTAGGGAAATACAACCCTAAGTGTCACAAATGATTGAGACAACCAATGTTGAGGATACTTCAATGAGAACGAAAAAAAAACATCAATAATGGGGATTTTATTCAATCAAGCAATCAGCCTGACCTCATGGCCCCTACACAGCAACGCTAGGTAGTCTTTAGGTAGTCTTCAATAGAAGCTATTACAAGACAGAATGAATACACTATAATAACTAGCAATATATTACGAAAGCATTTAACTTTCTTTAGAAGCCTGAATAACAGGCATTCAAGTTGAAAAAGAGGGAATAACAAGCATCCATATTTAACAAAGGTTAACCATGCGATCAAACTAGCCAGTTAAAGTGTAGAAGGAATTGAGAGACTACAGGTCTCAAGCCAGATTTTACAGCAAGAGACCCTCTTTGATTTGTAGAAGTCATCAGAGTTAGCTCCCTCCCGAGAGCTAATTAAGTTGCTTAAATTACTCCCGAGAGTTGAGTTAATACTAACCGACTCCCGAGAGTAGATTAAGTTTCTCAACCAACTCCCGAGAGTGAATTAAGTCTGTCAACCGCAACATTCTAAAAATAGCTGCGGTTCTATGTGAGTCACAATCTATGCAGAAAGGCATCAGCGTGAGATTTAGTTGCAGAGAAGTTAAAATAGAATAGCATCGAAGTGTTAAAGTGTTCTGCAGAAGGTCCTCATACTGACCATACGAGTTTTTACCCTGGCCAGCCCAAGTGGCTGAACACTAGCACAAACACCTTAGGTATAAAACCAAAGGTGAGGTCATAAATAAATATATACATTTGTACTTTATTTAAAGTCTACTACATTGCACTCTAACAGTAATATAACAAGAAAGGCAAAACCAAGAGGTCTTTCGTACACAACCCATTCCAGAATAGAACAGCAGAAAATTCTTTAAAGTTCTGTTACATATCCGATTGCTCCAAATCAATAAATGGATTCTCTAATTGTACAGCAAAAAAACCAAGATTTTACAAATAAGTAACATATTAATGGGACTGAGGGGGTCTGGAGCAGATATAAACAAGTACAAAGCAAAAAGTGCACATCAAAATAAATCACTACAAGTAGCAAAACGTTGGTGGGGCAATGAAAACCTAGTACATGGAAGGCCTAGCGGACATATAAACGAGGATCAAACAAAAAAATAATCACATCAGAAGCTAACTTTATACAAGTAGTAAGACATTAGCAGGACAATGAGAACCTAGTTCAAGGAAGACTTACATTTTTCAAACGTCATTGCACAAGGGCTGGCACAATACATTGTCTTGCGCCCAAACCAGCCTAAAGTCTTAGGCGCAAACGAGTGATCACATGGAGACCTAATACCATTGTTATGAAGATTCGTGGAAAAAAACGCAGACAACTGGTGCTCTCGGCTCCCGTTCGTACAAATGAGTCAAACTCTGCGTTCGTCAAGAAGACACAAATTACTCGATTCAATGTGTATTTTGAACGCAGACAAAACAAACTAACAGATTATAATACAGCAGTAAATGCAGGTACAAAAGTAACATGGGAACAGCGACTGAAGAACCTAGAAGAGTCGATCAGACTACAACGAGTCACTAACTTTGCACAATACCCAGGAAAAACGCGCGCAGCATACAATCGAAAATATCAAAAGGAGTATGTACACTTCCAGGGAGGGGACATTGTGATAGTTTGCTACCAAAGTGAAATTAATAAAATGAAAGCTCTATATAGCGGACCATATAAAAAACTAAGCAGGGAGGGCAACGGATGTCTTGTCTGTAACTTTGATGGCAGCAAAGCCTCGGAATATTCTAACTCGGCCAGTGATAAAATAATCGGCCTCATAAAGAAAGACAAGCTTTGCGAGAATTCACTCGCAACAGATCAATACTACCAGTCGAGAAGATATAATGATTTCTATAAAGCAAATGATTTGTTAAGTATTCTTGCTGTAAAATATGATATGAGACCTGTAGTCTCTCACTCCCTCTCAATTTTACAGTCAGAGCTGAAGGGTGTGGTGTGAACTGCGAAGCCTGAATTATCCAGACGAGAATGACTCTCTGGTTGGTTGAAACTTGAAAATTGAAGACGGAAGATTGAAGCTCGGGAGTGTCAAATTGGTTGCATCCACGTAGGATTGGTGGTCCTCTGTACAGTGACAGGTATCCCGATTTTTCAGGGAAAAGAAAACACAAGATTTTGGCTACAGAGACAATCGATATACATTGTCAGTGTTTTGTATGCTTGGTGTAAGCTCCCGTATGTGTCGTGACTTTTAACTTTCGACTTTGGGATAGTCATAAACTTTCTACTCGGGTCCTGGAATATGCGGCTTTTTTATGTTGCGGTCCTGATACACTCATTGGCAAGATTGCTTTTAGAAGAAAAAATTATATTCGAATACCTCTATACTCTACTAAATGTAGTCTGGGCTGACGGCTAAATTGTTTATGATACCGCTTTTATGCGATCAACAAGGAAAATTCTACGACTACTTTGCAATTGCGCCCAGAAAGCTTCGGTCTATC